CAGCATAAAGCTAGGGATATGATTATGACTGTATACCAGCAAGGTCCATTATGAATATTATATTAGGTTTTTAAAAGATCTAAGATCCTGAGGCCAGTAATCCGTAACATTATCTTTTAGAGAACTCCATAAGTTAGGCCCTTAAATGTCTACTCGATTTTAGTCCATATTGTATCACATTTGGGAGGAGATAAAATATTAGACCTCCCAAGGTCATATGGTGTGACACGTAAAAAGAAGAAGTGCTTAATATATGATGAAGCTAGATTATTTAATTCTGTTTACACTGTCTTGTTAAGTTAAAGGCAATATTTTGAAGTATTCTATTATACATTGTGGTCTTGTTGGCCATCGTTAATTGAGACTGATAGTCCTTATGGATCCTTATCTTGAAAAACGGGATCCATAAAGCTCGTTCATTTAATTTTTCAGGCTTATTGAAACGGATTCCAAATTGAAAAACTTGAATCATTGTTTCCAAGTTGAACCACCTGTGTTGTCGAAAAATCAACAAAAGGCGACCTGCTGCGATTTCCCTTCGCAATAATCATTGACATATTTTTTTATAGTTCTAAGTATGACAAAAGAGAATGCTTAGTTAGTTATGATTTTAAGTCACATTTTAGGTTTTAATATGCTCAGGGAAACGATTTGGTGGAGTCTTTTTGTTTTCTTGAGTAATGGATAATTACGACCATAGCCGATGAATAATATATCGATTAATTACGGTTCGGTTCTTGGCTGGTAATGGACTGTCATACAATGTTTGAATGAATTAGCGACAACCTGAAACTCATCTAAAACGCAAATCATGTAACAGATATTTCAAGAAAAATAGTGTAATTAAAGTGGAAAGCTCCCACCACCCCCAACTAAGATTCCATCGGTTTCTCAAAGAGCCGGCAAGTCTCACAAATTGCTAAGGTCATTCCTTACAGTTTTTCGGAGATCATGCCATTATTTTTGCTCGTCCGATCACCATTAATTTTTCACCTCTAATTGACTTTGTATTGAATTTTGTCAAACAACGCTCAAATAAACAAGAAAGCGCTTAATTCACCAAAATGTCCTATCATGGAAATATGATTATTAAACAGCATTGTGATACTACTTCGGAGTAATTTGAATTTTTTTAAAAAATTTGAATTCAAATTCATACAGAATTTTTCTCTGTCACAGTAGATTTTGCTTTGTTGAAACTATTTTTTTTTTGTCGTCGCCATGGTAATATCGATACCTCCAGGGTCCTTTCATTCTCGTCCCCCGGAGTGACGAGTAGGAGAGGACCCTGGAAACGAGAATGATTTATCAGGATTAAGACGCTTCACCTCTCCCCCAATGGAAAAACTCACAAGGCTTTGTGGGGTGGGGAGTAGTCCTGTTGGGTTGTATTTTAGGTTTATCTTAAACTTAATGCCTTCATTGACTGCCAGTTATGTTGGATAAAATCTCCATGCTGATTGCAAAAAATCTAATAGGCAACTAGCAATCAAATCTATTCGAAAGTGAATGATTGTGTTATAATTTTAATGTGCGACTGACTTGGATGGATTACAGCAGCGACAGCGATAGATCGCCTTGTTTGGCGATAGACAACTTAAGGATCGTAAATTTACGAAAAAAAGAATCACTACTTCTCCGGTACCTCGGTGAAGACTATGAATTAGCGCGAGTTAATAAATTAAAGATTGCGTGAATTGTGAATTATGATTCCATGGTCAACGTATAAAATAGCAAAATGCACCTTTGCGATTTAGGCAAAGCTTATTCATGATGGAAAAGATAATAATTTTAAAAAAAGTCCAGAAGAAGCCCGCTTAACAATATATTTTCTTTTGGTTCACCGTGTCGCCTGAAAGCCTTTTTGCGGTTTTCCATTTATTTAGTGCTTTCACTTGAGACTAGTCAAGACAAGTATTGAACTGGAAATACAATATGGGTAAAATCGTTACATAACCATATTCAATTTTTTCTTTTCCGATTTAGACCCTGATATATTTGTTTATCTACATGAAATTGGCACTATGGCCTGAATTGGGAAAATAAAATGTCTTAAAAACATTCGGTGCTATTCCCGGATCTTCTAAAGGCTCTTGTGTATGTATATAATTTTCAGTACGGTATACTGTTTGAGTGATTCCTTTTACCTGATAATTTAAAATTACACTATGACTTAAGAGCTGTTACTCTCTTCATTTGAATTTGATTGACAATCATCTTGATTTTGAGACATTTGTGCTCGCGTACGTAAAGGTAAAATTTGCTTCGTTGCACTGAAGTTTTTGTCATCGTAAATTAATGTTGATTGCTTTTTTGACTCAAAGAGACGGCTCAGCTTATCTTTAAGTTGAAACTGTTTATACAGCTAGTAGGAGTATTCCGCTGTAGTGTCACACCCAAAGCAAAAATAGTCCAGCCCATAATTATGTATGATTCAATTTAGAGCTTCTAATTAAACAATCATGTTGTTTTGAATGCACCCAAGAATGTATATAGTATATCCAATGTTATTAACCTGAGCGCTCCAAAATAAATTCAACAAAGTTCTTTCAATTATTTTATTTGCATATATGTGTCAAACTATTTTGCAATAAAAAACGAAATTGAAATCCTAATGGTACAACGGCTGGCAAATATTTAGAGCTGTTGCGAAACTACAAGTTATTCAATTGGACTTTCTTTCGTGACCGAAGTAATCATAAATTTAGGGAGTATTAATTAACGAAAAAATACATAAATATAAAAAACAACGTTATTACAGCAAATAACACACCGACGCATTCTCTGCTGTTATTAATTGAAGGAAACGTCACAACTGAAGTTAGCACTTCATAAAAACTGTTTCGCAATCGTTGTCCTTTGTTAGCACAGTTTTTGACATCTGACACTTGAGTGATATCTAATTTAACGTGCTTCTACCAATCCTGGCATTAGATTACGAAGCCTGATTGGTTCAAAATGGGACTGTTCTCCTGAGCTCTCATTGAATCCTTTTGATACATTTCAGTTTTTGTCCTCGCTTTAAATTCTGCTTCTCGAGATATTATGTTGTATAGTGACTCCCTAAGCTCCTCATCATTTGCTCAGTCGAATCCAGAATATTTTGTGAAATTGCTCGACGATCAGTAGTTTTCATACTGAGAGATTATTATCTACCTTTTCATTTCTTAATTTTCAACGTCCCGGGCATTAAGATGTCAAATTTTGTACGTATCGACCAAAAGCAATTTTTTTTAACGAAAGAGAACAGGGAGTTCATTGTTTAAAATAAGAATTTGCTCCTCACGTGGAGACTTCCACGACCTCTACCTTTGTAAGATTTTTAGTATTGCTTTCTAAGCTTTGTGTTTCTTGGCTCGTTAATTTAGCAAAGAAAATTACTTGCAGTGCACGAAGCTGACAGATTGATGATTAAGCAGGAGCTACCTGATGGAAGCAATTCTCGAAGTTAACTTTTCGTGCTAGTCACTCCAAAATGCAATGAAATTGAACACGTTTTATTAAATATATTTCCACTTAAGCTAAATTAGAAAAACGTATTGGTAATAATAAAATAAAATAAAATGGAGTAAAATAAAGTTAAACTAAGAAAATCAGCCTTCTTTTGTTTACCATCTTATACCGTTTACACTCGTCGTGCCAAAATGGAAGATAAATAATCTTGGGTCAATTCTCCATCAGCGAAACAATAGAAAACATCGAGTTCTGTTTTTTTAGAGCTTAGTGTAAGTTAAAATTGTCTTACAAAAACCTTTTTCCTTTCCCCATTCTTAATCCATACCCTCGTAAATGTTAAAGCTGATTAAAACAGTTGGAGCCGAATATTATTACTGCCGAATCTAGTTTACAATTGTAGCTCATTGACTTAGTAACAGAACTTTTCACTTCCTCTTGTTCCATGAAACCTGACCGTTTTGGATTCGTTTAGAAATTGACCCTTTAATTGTCTTGCTCCTTCTACAAAAGCAAGTGAAAATTTGAAGTTCGTTTGAAAATAAGAGTATTGTACACGATGTCTTCTGTTACACCTGCTCTGTTAAGAAGTCAAATCATTGTTTGCTGTACATCTTGAATAATGCCTTGCCGTTTTATTGTCATTTTCGAAGATATTATTTAGTTTTTCAATATTCGGGTGATAGTTCTACTTCCACATTTAGTTTTGCTGTCTTGTTTTGTAACTCGAACGAACGCTGCCCGTTAATCCGTGCCTTCTACTCTATAGCAAACTTCGAATCAGCATCACATCTCAGGAAAGCGTCTTTCTGGATAAGAAACAGGTGAAGCTTGAGTCGTTGTCGCTTTTGTCGTGGAAAGGTGGAATGTCTCGCTCACGAAAAGCGGGCGATTGTTTCGCTTGAACCAGCTAAAAATGATCTTCCTGTAGTCTTTTGTGAGGAAAATGTATATGATCGGGTCCACAGACCCCAAAATGCTCCCCATGTTACTTATAATCCAGTCCTGTAATGTTGTTATGCAATTTTTACAAAATATGCATTTTTGGCAATATGTTTCGACTACGCTGATGGTATAGAAAGCAGTCCAGAACATCAGGAGTGGTGCAACAAGAACAAGGATATGAAAGCCTATTTTAAGGTTCTTGGTGAGAATATTCGTCGTCTCGTTCGCACCCTGGTTTTGGTGTGGGTTGTGCCGCAGGTGTCTAGAAGCGATAAGGAAGATTTTGATATAACAGTACAAAGTGATAGCCAAAGGGAGTAGCAAATTGCAAAAAGCCAGTAAAGGCGTATAACCAAATTTGAAGACCTCCTTATTTGGCAATTCGCTGGTCAGCCCTAAAAGCGCAATCACCGCTGAATGAAACCAAATGTAGGCGATGACGAGAAGAGCTTTTCGCCCGGTGATAAAAGTGGTATAGTGCAAAGGCTTAGTGACGGACAAAAAGCGGTCATAGCTGAGCACAGTCAAGGAAACGATGCTTGCCGTGGCGCAGAAAACCTCAAAGATGGTTAAAAACAACATATATTCCGTTACCACTATTAATGTTTTTAGGTTGGCTTGCGTTGCTTTCCAAATGCAAAGGACCAACAGCAACATCATATCACTGATGGCAAGGTTCAGTACAAAATAGTTATTCACTGTGCGTATTCTTCGGTAGTAGGCAAAGGCGAAGCATATAAACGAATTTGAACTAAATCCCAAGATTATTATCACATACTCTGCAATTCTATATCCGAGAGCGTGCGTGCTTTCCCCAGAATTTGGCAAGGTAGTATCGTTTCCTTCAGACGGGTTCATCCTGAAAATAAGGTCCACTGGTTGACGAAGTTGCCGTTGCTTTCTTTCTTCTTAAAAATATATCTTTTTTCTTTTTCCTTTTCAAACAGAGACTATCGTGTGATGACAGAAGGAGTCCTTCATCAAAATCGCTCCTGGAAAGTCATTAGTATTCCTACTACCAGCTCTATTACCAGAAATTTAAAAGGTTTCACAATTCTTGCTTCGTTCTACCGCGCCTTCCAGTAAATACGTCTAGTTTCGAACCGATTTGATTCAGGCGAAATCCGTTTAGCCAGGGTTTTGGTCTTTTTCGGTTTTCATCGCTGACATCATTTGTTTATATAGCCTCAAAATGTCAATCCCAACTGTCCTCGGTGCCCTGCTGTCATTCGCAGCGGTCATACTTCTTAAGTATATTTGTATTTATGGTAATACCGTTCACTCTCAGTGCTTCCGATATCCCATTACAATCTATGGGTTTATCTGCAAAGAGGTGCCGGTTAAGCGACTTGAAATTCTACAAACTTTCGCGGACATCAATCAAATGATCGATACGAACAAGTGATAAAGAACTCTTCATCCACTTATGGCTCTCTGTCTCAATGCTTGGTAATCTTTGAGATCTGAGGCTCATGAATTTAGCAGGGGCGTTTTGACGATGTGTTTTAATTGACTAGAAATGACGTCTATTGTTCATGAATTTATTCCTTGCGACGCTCACAGGTGAAACGGATCGAAACTCCCCCCACTAAATTAACATTCACGCAAATATCCTGATGCTAGGTAAACATTGCTTTGTCGAATCTATCTTCGAAGAAAAACAACATGCATTAACAGTTTTGTTCCGAGGACACGATGTTCTCTTTGACGTTGGTCACTTGCGCCACAGACTTTGCCATTTTAATATTTTTTGTTTGACTTCTTGTCATAAACTGTCAGTTTTTTTTTTAATAAGTTAAAACAAAATTCATTTCGAGCTGCTTAACAGAAGAATTCGACACTAATAACTATCTTGTTTCGAAAGTCTCGTGAATATCTCCTTTCCGTCAGCTCCCAAATCACTTTAGTGTTACTAATGTAAGATTTTTCCTTCCAAGTATGTGTGAGAGAGGTGATCTTATAAATGTGTGTCTACCGGTTTGCTATCTACTGCGTGTAAATGAAATTTGTTGGAAAAGTTTCATAATTTTCTCTTGAGTGACAAAGTTCAGAGTCCAAATTAAAATTTCATTTAAGCGAAATACATTCGGTCTATAAACGTTTTATGCGTCTCTGACAGACATCGGTATACGTTAATTGAACTCTTGGCATACCTAAGTATTGCACCCAGAGGCAAGCGGGATTGAATATAACTTGTTAGAAATCTTCCCGTAAAATGTGAGCGATATCTTTACTCCGTCTTCGCGACAAGCCGTGGATGTCACGTGACCTTTTCTTAGCATTCCAAGCACATCTGCAGATACTCAGATGGGCGAAGATCATCGCTAACGCGGGGATTCCGAAGCTCATGATAGTCAAAGTTGTCATAAAAACTGTGTCAAAGACTCTTTTATACATAAGGTAGCGGGCCACACTAAGTCCGAACATAATCAAGGAGTATACCCATATAAAAAGAGTTGCTTTTCGAGCACGTGATCTCGTGATCAGCTGTTCGTATCTAAGAGGGCGAGTCACCGCAAGGTACCTATCAACGCTTGCAGCAGTCAGGCTAAGCATCGAGGCCGAGCAGCACAACACATCAATGTTAACCACCACGATCTCGAGAAGTCTATCACTTGGATAAAGATCTATCATAACCCATGAGGCTAGGCCCGCAACCAATAGCAGATCTGTCACTGCGAGATTGAAAATAAAGTAGTTCGTTATTGTTTGTAGCTGGCGAAAACGGATATACGCGTACACGATTAATCCATTTCCGACCAATCCGATGATGACTATCAAGAGGGAAGTCGTAATAACTGCCATTGATGCGGTTGCTGTAGTATTGGTGTTAGTAGAGGTGGTTCTTGTGATGTTCATTGCGCTTCTGTGGAAATAGAATCAATGAGCTGGTGTTGAGGAAGTGTATGTCAGTCTTTTAGTACCCTAAACACCCTTCATTGATTGAACTTAGAAAAAGCGGGCTGTTATGAGATAGCAGCGGTATGCATATAAAGTGGGCAAAAGAGACAATGTGCAATCTTGGCGCAAGTGAAGTGAATTCCTCACAACCGATATCTTCTTGAGAATGCCCTGGTAGTGGGAGAGTGGGACTGCTTGAATTAAATGACTTTAACTTAAAAAAATAAATAGATAAATAATAATAATAATAATAATAATAATAATAATAATAATAATAATAATGATGATAATGATAATAGTAATAATAATAGTAATGATAATAATAATAATAATAATAAAAGGGAAGAAGAGAAAAAAGAAAAAAGTAAGTAAGTGAGAAACACAGAAGAAACAAAGACAGAAAGAGGAAGAGAGAAAGAAACAAGGAAGAAAGGAAGCAAGACAGACAGACATGCAGACAAAAGGATAGACAGACAGACTGACAGACTGACAGACAAAAGAAGATTAGAGGAAAGGGAGTGAAAACTAAGGAAAGAAAAGAAAGAGAGAGAAATTAATCAATCGCAACCTCTCACTGTAGTTTAGATATTTGGTTTAGTTTTTGCCTTAGCGGCACACTCCATTGTTTTTGTTTTATAGTAGCAACGTAGCGGGAAACCATTAGCCAACATGGCACAAATCGTGACTGGAATTAATCTGACAGGTTAAACGCAAGTAAACACGGATATATTTAATTACACTGTAAGAAAGATGGCAGATTTCCCACTGAGATAAAATTTCGTTCTGAATCCAGAATCGATATTTACATTATTTATCTTAAAGTGAAAATCTGTATTATCTTCATATCCTTCATACCCTAGACCCTTCATAGGT